AGACGCGTTTGGGTTCTGTTTGGCTGTTCACGGTAGGCAGAACGGGCCGTACGCGGGGAAAACGGCCTGTTTGCACGAATCTGGGGTGTCGGCGGGATTCAGTTAAAATACTGATCAACCTACCCGATGGGAAGAAACGATGAAAGCATTCCCAAACACGTTAAAAAGAAATTGATGCCATCTCCGAGGACCTTAATGTGGGCAGCAAAATAGAATATTTCTATGAAAGACCCAAATAAAATGACCTGTTGTGAATAATCCGGAGTTTAACCAGCAATAAGATAAGCAAATCTCATGCTTTTCTAAATTTTTGATTGACAGGACAATCCAGGAAAGTAGCCTTTGGCGGTAACTTATACTCTGGGCAAGATGTTAACTGTCAAGTACTGGGATCAAGCCTCAGGCATCTGAATTAGCTGTGAAAGTCTTCAGACCTAGCTAGGAAAAAAAAATCTCTAAGAGAAGGATAAAGGGTAAATGGACAATATTGTCAAAGGGACCTTAAACTTTTTACAGCATAAAGCTGACGGGATTTATATCTGCAAATGCGTTTATGCAGCACTTAGAATTATGGTTATATAGGTTTGGAGAATTGAGTTGATACCCTTCAAAAGTCTGCTTTAAAGGGAAATGTATGGAGGAGGAATCAATTTAAGTACGATAATTGTATAGCTTGGAGCACTGACAGCATCAAAGCTATTGGAGAATAATGCCCTGTAATCTCTCCAGTAATGCTTTTGCCTTTCAGACTGTGCCTTTAATGGTCTGTTGCTTTTGTCTTGAGCAGATGGTTTGATCTGGCCAACTGATTGCCCGATACGGTTTTCTGTTAGTCCCGCAGATCTGTGGGTTGGGTAAGAGCTAATAGGCCACGCTCCTATGAGTGTCATGAGGAAGAACTTCTCACGAGGAGTACCTTATACTTGTGAAAACCTTTGAAGCTCTGAGAAGTGAATTCACTTTTTAAATGGTCTGCTGGAAGGTGCTGATTGACAGCCCTGGAGATGGAAAATCTCTAGGTGTCCACGCAGCAGTTCCAGCGTGAACAGCAGCACTTTAAGCCTCTGTTCCTTGTGCCCTGCCTGGTCATACCCTTGAATTGATTAGATCACTTCTTAGGTCCACAGCTGCTAATTCAGCTGCGTAGTCTAGACCACTAACACGGTGCAGACAGGCTGGGAGGTAAAGGAGATGGGGAGTGTGGTATTGCTGTTAGGCAGCAATATATGCATGAGTGAATTACATTTCTGGGTTGCTGGTTGTGGCCTCGTTCTGCCACGCGTACCACTTCTGAGGTTCGGCGTGACCTCGGTCCGCAGCTGTGTACAGGGCTCTCGCACAGGGTATCTCTGTGGCTCCGCAGCGTTACTTCTGATAGGTGAATTTTACTCCTGTACCTTGATTTCTCTGCTCAATAGAGATGTGCTTCCCCATTACTTAATCTGGGTATCTCTTTGCAGCACACTGTAATTTTGACACGAATCTTCTCTTTGGACTTCTCTAATGATAAAGTAAAACCTCTCTAGAGCCTCATTCCCCCAACTTTCAGAGTTGGAAACCCACACAACCTTATGTTGAAAAGGAATTGATTATTCAAAGCTCTTGTGCTTCATAATCTCCTTAAAACATGTAGATTGACTGCCTCATCAGAAAAGCTCTGAATTTTACTTTGCTCCATGGCCCACTGGGTCATGTGCTTAAGGCCGGGAGGCCTCTGGCTGGTGACAGACCGAGTGCCCCTCCAATCACAGGTTGTTAATTTGCCTGACATTCAAGAGCCAGTTCCACATGAGCAAAAAGGAATGCCATCCTCCAGACTTCTTCATTACCTACTGTCTGCACCACAGCAAAATAAGAATAATACCGATTTCTTCCTTTCTTTTTTCTCCTTTTTCTTTTTTTTTTCCCCCTCTGGTCTGTGAAAGATGTTTTACAGTTTTAATGCAGCTGTTTTAAGTGTGACTGTTCCTGTTCAAGGGCAGCTGATGTACTTTGTAATGCCATCGAACAGCCAACAAGCTATGTTCCCCTATTGTGTTGAAGTGATAGGTATGTTTGCTAATCAAGAGGAGAGCAGAGCTTGCTGTCTGACTTGTTTATGTTTTATTTCTCACCATCAAGCTTTAGAGGGAGGCACAGAAAATATGTAAGTGTCTATATTATTCAGTGATGTATATATGTACCTGAGTGTAAAAACGATCTGAAGTGTATTGCTGATACCTTCTCATCAGTCATCGCTGAGATAAGCAAGGTGTCAGGGGTACACGTCCCCAGTCTTGCTCAAAATACCCCAAACCTGCCATGCCATTAGATAAATTGTTAATTAATTATCACTGCATCTTGGGTTTGGTTTTGGGTTTGTTTGGTTTTTTTTTTCATGTTGCGATTGCTTCAGTTTTCTTCAAAAATAGTGACCAAAGTGGAGGATTTCTCTCATCAAGCTTCACAGAAAGCCAATGGGAAGTGATTGGATAGAGGAGATACTGTCTGTTTCCCATCATAATTGCTTTTTGATTTTCTTGTAGGCTGTAGTGTTTCTTCTTTCCATATGCAGGATGGAAGGCATTTGGCCCCTGGAAACGGAGAATCTCCTATGATCTGCTGGAAGCTGAACAGCACAGGATACCCACTTAATTCTCTGTGCCGTTCCTGGGGCTTTCAGCCTCTGCCTTGATTCCCTGTTCACCTCTCTGGGATGTGAGCTCTGACAGAATCCTACTTTAGGGCAGCCTTACTCACTGGTTTCTAGGTTTTATTCCAATCCCTTGCAAAACTGTTTTAAGCATTCTGAAAATGTTTCCCCAAAAAATCATGTAATTCGGCATCTTTGTAATTCCATCTTAATGATTCCAGTAGGAATCATGATAAAATAACCTGCATTAAGACAAGAAGTTCAGTGCTGCAGCCAGAAAGTCAGGAGTTCAGGAAAATTCCACTGGTCTTTGTGTGAAATACATTTTTGGGAGAGAGAAGGTTGGAATTTTTTTTCCTTTTTCCTATTAGGATGTCTTGGGTTTGTGTCAGTTCTCGTGACCTGGAGGGTGGGGAGAAGAACTGCCCTGCAAAGCACACTGAGATTCTCATTTATCCCCTTTCTGCCTGCCTGCAGCTCAGGTCTTAAATAAGCATCATCCGTCTAATAACGATTCTGCCTGCTGCTGCACTATTGTATAGTTAATTTTATGAATCCCATTTTTATCGGAATGCCTAGTTTTGCTCTGTCATTTTGCTCTCTGTCAGGTGTCTGGTTTTGTTCTATTCCATTCCATTTTAGCAGATGGAGAATATTACTCTCCTTAACTTGTTTTTTTTATAATTTGAAGTGGATATCTTCAATTAATACGCTAATCTGTTTTCTAATTAATTCCCTGCGGTTTTCCTCCCTTTTTTGCTGGTACACTGAATCCTGAGTGCAATTCTGTAAACTCGGTAATTCGATTACTTAAAGGAGAAAGCCATGAATTTCACGACAGAGGTGTAAGTCTGTAGGAAATGTTAAATTCCAGGGAGCACATGGATTCTATTCTTGCGGTTTAAAACCTACCCGGGGTATAGGTGTGCACAGCTGACAATGCACTGCTGAAAGAGAGGCACGTTCCTGTCAGCTGGCCCCGAAGCGAATCGCAGGGTTGGAAACCCGAGGCGTATGCTCTCCCGCGAGCACTCGCTGTGTTTCTGTATGCAGATGTGCTGGCAGGCTGAGTATCAAAACATCAGCGTTCCATGATGTGGATTTATGTAGCAGTTTTTATCGCTTGTTTCCAGTAGAGGCAACAGTGCATTAGGCATCCTGTACACAAAAAGAGAAGGGACTCTCTCACCTGCTTCTTGAAAATTGTCTTGGATGCTTCGCTGAGGTTGTTTTGCTGACCTTCCTTTGGGGTTATTTGACACTAAGCCCAACGCTGCAAGAGTCCTTGGGAAATTTATACTTACCCTTGTTGAACCTCATAATTTAATTCTCCCATTAAAAAAAAAAAAAACAAACCATCAGGTTAAGTATCTTGATTGAAATATTTTACTTTATGAAGGCTCTAGTGGAAATGTGCAGGATACCTCCTTCCCACTCTCTCCCATTAAATGGAATTTTAAACGTCACATAGTAATTGTAGTCCCGGTCAGCATGTTGCTGATGGTCTCTCTTGCCCTAAAGGAAAAGAATATTAGAGGAAAGAGAACTTTTATCTCTAAAACTAGGGAGTCATCAATGCAGTAATTACAGTAGTTGAAATACATTTTGGAAATTTATTTTCAGTTATAAAAGCTTCAAGCCTTTGGGCAAATTGGCAAAATACTGCTTCTAGCCTGCTGCGGCTGAACCATTATCACCTGCTGAGTTAAATACCGAATGCTACAGAAATTTCTTTCCTGTTTTAGGATTTCTTTTACATAATTCAGGTCATTATTTTTGCATTTTGATAAGATTGTGTCACACTCTTCTTTGTGACATAGCCTGGTATGGCTGGGAGAAAAAAAGTACATTGCAAAATTATGTAGGCATCGGTTTTTACCAAATACTTTGCTTTAGTCCTGCAATTCCATATGAGTTTGGGGGCTCCATGATAGTACAGTAAATATGCAAAAGTCAACAGTAACTCCTCTCTCCCAAATCTGTCATAAATGTGAATAACTCCTTGTGTTTTAGTTCCTGTAGCAGTCTAACCAGAAAAAGTGGTGTGTATCCTCCTTAATTGCAGACTCAGCATACGAGATAAATGTCATCTTTCTAATCCTTTGCAGTCCCAGACAAGCTTGTTATGAAGATCCTGGCAGAACGCCTAAACGCACTGGACTGCGTGACCAATGGTTGGGTGCTTTATGGCTTCCCAAGAGACATAGAGCAGGGGGAACAGCTGCAAGAATCACATATTATTCCAAACAGGTAAGATACAAATTTAGCAATCATGATATTATATAATTTTTAAAAAGTGTTTATGGAAAGGTACAGATTTTATTGACATTGTGTAGGCTTTGGCATCTTATTTATTTATTGCTTCCTTAGCTAGAAAAGGGACTTTGCTCCCGGAGAGTAGGAAATAGAGCCCTGGCCTTACAAATCCTCCAGATGGTCAGACTGTGGGAGGGAGAAGAGGTTTGTTGTTCTGGTTATTTGTGTGAGTTGCCTCTAAAGGCAAACCATAAGAAATGGATTAAAGTTTGGATTATATCAGAAGGTGCATTTTATTTGCAGCAGGAGGGGGGATCTACATCTTCTTTCTTTAGCACTGGCGTAGTATCATGGAAATATATTAGTATTGCGATGAGCTCATTATAAGACGTTTGGATTTTGTGAAATAATTAAAACCAACATGAGAATTATATTTTATCTGAGCTGTAATGAAGTGTTCATGTAATGTAATGTAAGAGAAATGAGCATCAAAAGAGAGCTGTTATGACTGCCAGGCAAATAAAACAGGGTTACTCCTCGCCGCTGGTCCAGAGGTGGTGAGGGTTTGGAACGCTGGTGTACTCATCAAAGCCGAGAGGCTTTTCCGTTCCCCTCCCAGGGGTTCCTGGTTCAGTCCATACCACTGGCTGACACAGTGGCCATTCCAGAGGCATACATTGGAAAGTTGTAGTCTTTGTGCTTCCAGGAGGCTAATTCTTACCGAAAAACTAGTAGTGGAAAAGGAATATTACCCACGTAAGTGTTTAAGCTGGCAAAGTTACTCTCCCTGTGTCTTCTGCGTGGCTGCCCTCAATCCCCTCGCTGCTCCCTGTACAGGGGAAGCTGTAGAAGGGTAAGATTGAGTTGGAGAGGCAAAAGAGGAGGGTGAAAAGGGAGGGAGATAGTCATCCCTTCGAGGCTTAAAGATGAAAGTATATGAAAACAGTGGCAGCTTTATTTATTAAAAGTAAGACATCTTAAACAGGAATCCATTTCATTTAAAAAGAGAGAAAGCATCTTGGAACTTGTGTTAGATTCAGTTAGGTGACATTTCCCATGGATTATTCTCCATGTGCATTTAGAAGGTAGGTCCCGAGTCCCTAAACGTGTATCCGAGTGCCTGAGATAGGTGTGAATGCTCAAGTGTGTGCCATGTGCTCCTTTACAGGACTGAGACCTCATCAAGTGAGGAAGAACAACTCATTATAAAATTGTATCTGTGGAAATTTGGTGCTGATCCGTTTGCTCAGCTTCTGTTTCCTTTAAAGAGCTCTGCACATTCCTGTCTGAGTTAAGAATTTGGTCCCTACTATTTTATACAGGGGTTGAAGTAAGGGACAAAAGTGACATCATGCTACCTGATTGATTTTGAAGCTGGTGTTTGCCATGAAGCTGAAGTAGTAGGTATATAAGGGAGAGAGGGTGATTATAAACAAAAGGACATACTGCAGCATAGGATAGCAGGGCAGTAATTCAGATTCAGTTGTGATGCTAGTTATAAAACACTATCTGCAGAGGTGGTGTTTCTGACATCAGGAGAAAAACCTGATAGAATTATAGCCTTGGAATCAATCTGGGAATAGGATGCAGAAATCTATAAATCAGACACAGAACGATCTACAAAGTCTCATTTTTAGGAGGGCTCTGCTGATGAAATTAGATTAAAATAAATTTACATATATATCAAGTTTATTATTAAAATCTAGTCACATCAGTAAACAAAATTGTTTGTGAAAGAGTATGTTACTCTGTGTTTTGAACTCAAAGTAGACCTCTTTGGCTGATCAGAACACAGAGTTATTGTCTGCTTGTCAAGTCATAAATCTATTCCTTAGACCTAATAAATGGTTAGTGTTCAAATACTATGTTTTATCTGACTCCCACCTCATAAAGCTAGTACACATAATACTAAATTATACAGCATTGAGCAGGATCAGTCTCCTGACTCCTCCATCTTATGGAAAGAAAAACAAACCTGGTAATTGATGGTAGAAAAGAAGGAAAATAAAGTTATTTGAAAACAAACAAAATGGGCTATAAAGTTTGTTAAAATGTAATAATAAAAAAACCTCATACAGCATCAGCCACTGCATCCAAAGAACTGCCCTGGAACAAAAAGGAAAATAATTCATTTTCCACTGAAGGAATAAGGTAGAGGGTTTTCTTTAAATTAGAATTTGCAGCAGAGCAAAGGCTTGCTTACAGACGGGTCCCTGTATCAGACAGAACCTGTCCACTGAAGAACTGCTCCTTCTGTGCTGGGAGAAGACATGTATCGCCCTCTGTGTTCCTCCCTGTGAAGCAGTTACTGCCTAAGTGGACAGGATCCTAATCGTATTGAACTGTGGCAGCCTTTAGGGCAAATAAGAAGCTGAATCTATTAGTGGTCTCTCAGCTATCTAGTAAAAGAATGCCGTTAACCACCTAGTGCCTACAGTACGTGGGAATCCAAATGCAATTACAGGTTGGCATCGGCAGCTCAGAATTACTAAGGCAAAGGACTGCATTCAGCTTCTTGTCCAAATGAGTGTAAATAGGTCTTTTAGCTTTTTTTTTTCTTGTTAATGGTTGAGCAACAACAGAAAATATGTAGTATGGTCATGGATAGCTCTAATATACAGAAACCTCTATTACTATCTAGCGAAATCTCTCTTGTCCCCTTCTGCTCTCTCCCAAACTGACGGTCAGAAGCAGCTTCAGCAGTGTCATCTGTTACGTATCGCTTGTCATTAGCTGCAGCCGGGTCACGACCAGCTGCCTGCTGGTTCCAGGCCAGCTTAAGGCAATCAGCAGTTTAAGGATTCCCTGAGCCAGGGCCTTGGTCATCTGGACAACTGTCTAACAGCCCATTTGCCTTGACTTTAAAGTCTCTTTCAACACGTCGTACTTTTGGCCTCAACCAGATCATATGGAAAGGAGTTTTACTTTTTCTCTGGGTGTCTTATGAAAATACCTCACAGTGGTTTTTCCAGATTCCTTTCATGTACTGAAACACAGTTATAAGCATTCCCTGTTTGTGCTGCCATACCACTCCTGATTTTATAAGCCCCTTGCTGTTCAGTCATCTCTTTCCCAGGAATAGAACCTCGATCTGGTTACCCTTTCCTTTCCCAAAAGTCATTTCACTCTACAGATCATCCTGCACCCTGATCTCTACCTTCTCCATTTCTTCCAGCTGTTTCTTTTCGAAGGTGGGACACCCAGAACCGCATTCACTTTTGAGCGTAGCACTCTGTACTGGAGGTATATGTATTACCATAAACATTATTGATTTTGATCTTAACTCCATTACCCGTAATTGCTGGTATTCTGTTAGATGTTCATGTGATGAATTTTGGAAGAATGTCTCGTGTGTGTGAACTATGGTAACTACATGGTGTGTCTTTCATTGGAAATATACCGAAAAGCCACAAAGTGTTACAAATCTCAATTGGGTGTGTACAAACTCAGCAAGGAGCCAAAAGACCCTTTAACTCAAGATCTCTAGTTAAAATTGTAGCCAGGTTTGTGCAGCGTTCTCCGCAGGCTGATAAAGCAAGCCCTTCCATCTGTGCCAGTGGGCTCTGCTAAGTGTGTCCTGGGATTCCCAGTTCCTCTGTTCCATCATTTTCATTGTTTTTTTTTCCATCTGATCTGAATCCAGGGTCGATTGTTTTACATTTCAGTATTGATTAATTACAGGACAGTACTATGTACAAACAGTACAACAAGTGGACAGACAGAGCTGGGCAGGGATGAACTTGAGGGATGACCTAACAACACAGATATAATACATTTCAAGTACCCATTTTTCCAATATTAAAGGTTTTTCTTTCCCAGCAGAGAAAATAAACAGCACTGGCTTGTCCAGTGGAAGTTTTCCAGCAGTATTTTATTTGGTGTTCAAAACGACGTGGCTGTATCCCTGATTATGTTACCTTTTTACATAATATATTTAGAACAACTCCTTCATCACACTGCTAAGAACCTGTATTCAAACAGTTCAGGGTAATGAAGTTCTAATTTCTAAGGTAGAATCTGTGGATATGTTGAAAAGGGAGAAATCAGAATGGAAAAAATATTCTTTTTTTAACTATTTGGTCTTTGCATGGGGCTTTCATATTTCTGCAGCTGATCCCAGTGTGGATTAGGGATAATAAACAGCCTATTAATGGAGGCCTGAACTAGGAAATGGAGTTTGAATCAGCAGCAAAATTCAATGGCTGGCGAAGGTTAATAACTCCATTACTATCAGCTCTATTTTTTAGCCGTTTGAAGAGCTAGGTGTTAGCCTTATCTTACTCCTCATTAATTGAGCTAATAGAACCCCAGTGACCCTACCATGCTGCCATTATCTGAGAGTTTACCAGACATGGACTGGAATACTTATCACTGAATATGTATTCCTCAGGTTCATTTTTATATTGGAAATATTTTTGTTAAAGATCGGCTGTTTTCAGGTTTCTTTTTGTCTTTTCATTTCCTTGCTGCCTTCTGTAACAGCTACATATTTTGAAATTAAATGTAAATGACTTAATTAAAATCCTATCAAGGAACAAGCTAAGTCCCAAAATAGTTGCATCAAGGAAACATAATAGTGATTGAATTATTCTGACATGGAAAAGTCTTACAGGGCATTTTTAAAACTTTGGCCTAATTTAAATGATGGATATTGTGTATTTATAATAGATGTGTTTTTAATTGATGGCATACAAAAATCTGATGAGTAACAAAGAAGAAATGTTATAATTATCTCTTCCTATTTTCTCCTTATTTTCAGGGGAAAAAAACCCCAAACAAACATAAAAATGATGTGGTAATCAAGGGACTAAATCAGTACAATAAAATTTGCCTGCACCAGGGAGAGAGAGAGAAACAGAAGGAAAAGTCCAAGTGACCTACGTTGGATTTGGCTTAATTTATAAAGAAAGTAGTAAAACTAATGGGCAAACCAATTCTGTTTCAATCATTCTCATTTTTTGTCTCTTACAATTAGGAAGCAGCTTGCTCTTACC